TATACAGACGTATGTATGTTGGTCTGTAACAAACGAGAACGTAATTATCTACCCTTCGAATAGGCCTGTCAATCGGCCATCAATCAGTGCCAGTCTCCACAATCCCATCCCTCATTACGCCCATCCCGCCCACCACACGCTTCGGCCGCCCGCCATTACCATCGACGATTCGGCAACGGGATTCTCCAGATCCGAGCAATCATGTAATTAGCCGACTAATGACTCTTATCGAGGGTCGTCATCAATGGCCAATGCTCGGCCGATTCTCCGCCTCGGCCACCGACCCACGTAAGCAGCCGAAGCGTAGAAATTCCGAAAAAATTATATTCATTGGCTACTTCCTCCGTCCCCCATCCTTCCTTCCGTCCGTTTTCCCGCCAAAACCTCGGCCTACGCGCAGCCAGCGGATATGGGTAATTGATGGCCGAGCTGCCTCCCGACGGGGCCCTCGTGCGAGTGAAAGTCGAAAAGCCGACGGAGGTGCCGGACGGACGCCCGAATCCCGCCCTCATTAATTCAAAAGCAGGAAACCTTTCCTGGGCGGCGGCGGGGACAGCCTGACTGACGCCTCGGGAGGTTGGCAACCCTGCTTTATCCGCGCGTCATCCGGGGGCGAGAGGTTGGTACTCCTGGTCATTTGGGAATTGGACATTGCCTTCTGGTTCTTAATTGTGATTGTAATGAGATTTTCCTTCAATATATTTCGTGATTTTAGATTCGTTTTGGTACATTTCTGACTCTGCTTTATGTTCTAATTAATTTTTAAAAAGTGAACCTCCGAATCACTTTTATAATTTTTTAAATATTTTTTGATGGCCGTGTGCCCATGTAAATTCGTTTTTAGTTTAATATAATTATATGAAAAAAAAGAAAAATATACATATAATAATTGTCATAGATTGATTTCCTGATTAGAATCTTCAGAACCGATTATTGAAATTTTTTAACGTATTTTTTTCTCGTCAAATCTTAAGTCATACTTGAGAGAGCTGATTTCCGACGCCACGCAGCACAGATTTGATTACTTTTTCTATTTTTATTTTTATTTTCATTTTTTTACTGATTTTATTACTTTTTCTATTTTTATTTTTATTTTTATTTTTTTACCGAGTGATATTTGATATTGCCACCTTCCTCTCTCCTTCGCTTGTGGTCCCTTTATTTGTATCCTTATCTTTATTCTTCTTTTCCAGTTCCATTTCTCGATCATCAAGCTCCTTATATTTTATACTCTTTTCCATGCCTCCACATCCTCCTCTGTATCATCCTCATTCTCATCCTCACCCTCCTCTCCTTTCTCCTCCTCTTTTGTCTTATTCCTCCGATTCCTATTATTCCTCTTCCTCCTCCTCCTTGTCCTCTTCCTAGACCTCATATTATTCCTCTTCCTTGTCCTATTCCTCCTCCTTTTATTCCCACCCTCCTCCTCCTCTTCCTAACCCCACTCCTCATCCTGATCCTCCCCATCCTATTCTTCTTCCCCCTCTTCCTCCTCTACCTCCTCTTCCTCCTCATCCTAAACCTTCTCATCTTATTCTTCCTCCCCATCCTCCTCCTCATTCTCCTCCTCCTCCTATTCCTCTCCTACCCTGTTCTTCCTCCTCTTCTTCATCATCCTAAACCTTCCCATCCTATTCTCCCTCCCCATCCTCCTCTTCCTCTTCCTCCTCCCATCCCATCCTATCCTATTCTTCCTCCCCATCCTCCTCCTCCTCCTCCCCTCTCCTCCCCCTTTCCCCAAAGTCCTCGTCCACCTCACCTATACCTCCTCCCTCTGCAATCCTCCCTATTCCAATATCCATTTTCCAATTTCTCGCATTTCCTCCTTTTTTTCCAGCTCCCAAAAAGATCGTGTGATTTTCTCCCCAGACCCCAGCATCCAGCAGAGATCTGACCCTCCATCCGGCAGAAATATGAGCCCCCTTCCCCGGTATTCTTCTCGTTGCATCCGGCAGAGATAGGGGAATCTTAGTGAGATCTTGAAAGAGCATCGCGTGCTGTAGGACTGTAGAGCTCAGAGCGGAGACAGGGAGGGAGAGGGGGACTAAGAGAGAGAGTGGGAGAGAGAGAGAGAGAGAGAGAGAGAGAGAGAGAGAGAGAGAGAGAGTAAGAATGAGAGAGAGAGAAAAAAGAGTAAGAGAGAGAGAGAGAGAGAGAAAGAGTGAGTGTGAGAGAGAGGGGGGGGGGAGAGAAAAAGACAGAAAAAGTAAGAATGAGAGAGAGAGGAAAAAAGAGTAAGAGAGAGAAATAGTAAGAATGAGAGAGAGAGAGAGAGTAAGAATGAAAGAGAGAGAGAGAATAAGAATGAGAGAGAGAGGGAGAACGAGTGAGAGAGAGAGAGAGTTTGAGAGAGAGACAGACGGACAGAGACAGACAAAAACAGAGAGTGTGTGAGAGAGAAACAGAGAAGATACAAAACCGAATTAAAGTTAACAACACAAGGAAGAAATACAACAGAAAACAAACCGGGAATAAAACACCAAGAGTAACCATCTCCAACACCACAGCAGGTATGTATGTATGTATGTATGTACACGTGTTTGTGTGTATGTCCGTGTGACAGCCTCGATCGACATCAAAAACCTGCAGCTATAACCACATAATTAATGGAAATATCATTCAAACAACTGCTATAGCGATTTTTACGTCGTAAAGAAAAAAAAAGAAATAAAGAAACATCAAGCAAAATAAACAGAAAATACCATCACTTAGTAGGCCTGCTGGTAGGCCTAGCCTCCGGATGCGTAGGGTGTTGGGATAGTCAATCAAATCCTCATTAGCGGATGGTAAGTACGTATATGTTGGTACTAAGCGGGCTATTTTTGACACTAGTCGTCCATTAGACGTAATTATCATTTTAATAACCAACACGTGCCCTTCTATATATATTTTTTCCTGTTGTTAATATTTTCTTCATTTTCTGCATAAAAAATATTTCGTTTGTGTTTTCCTTTCATGCTAACGATTTTAGAGCATTATTTTTTGTTGTTGTTGTTGTTGTTGTTGTTAATGTTATTTTCTTCATTTTCTGCATAAAAATATTTCGTTACTGTTTTTTCATGCTAACGTTTAGGGCATTATTTGAGAAACGTAAATACTTCTGATTTATATAATATCAGTAATGTAGTATGATTTTCTCTTTATTTTCTCTTCCCTTGCTCTCTCCCTCTCTCTGTCTTTCTCTGTCTGTCTGTCTGTCTGTCTGTCTCTAACTCTCTCTCTCTCTCTCTCTCTCTCTCTCTCCGTTTCTCATTTCTCAGGATCTTAAAAATACAACCACATTCTTATTCCTTATCATATTTATTTACATCTGTACAGAACTAAAGTAATTAAAGCTTCACCTCAGCAAATCTTTAAATATCAAAAGATAACATTAAATTACGAGACTAGACAGTAACATATTCCATTACAATAAAAAAAACACATACAAGAACAATGGATTAATTAACAGTGTGGAGAAATTAAAATCATAATGATTAAGAGAAGGAAATATAAATACTGTAAATAATAATGGAAAAAATGAGATCTGATCATGAAAAGGACATGTTTATCACTTCATATGACACACATACACGCACACACACACACAGACACACACACACACACACACACACATATACATACATATAAATACATATGAAGAGGAAGTGGAAAATATTTTGAAATTTAAGAGGTAGATTCATGATCATTTCTACAAAAAAAATAGAACTTAGAGACATACTAAAGCCTTCACCATTAAAAAAAAAATAACAGACTCGAACACAGGAAACGCGACAAAATCCAAGACATTTTCAAGACTCCAATCCTTCTTCTTCTTCTTCTCCTTCCTCTCCCTCTCCCTCGTCCTCGGGCTTCCCCCACCTCGTCCTCGGCCTTCTACCCCTCGTCCTCGGCCTTCTCCCCTCGTCCTCGTCCTTCCCCCCCTCGTTCTCGTCCTTCCCCCACCTCGTCCTCGGCCTTCTCCCCTCGTTCTCGTCCTTCTCCCCCTCGTCCTCGTCCTTCCTTCCCCCCTTCGTCCTCGGCCTTCCCCCACCTCGTCCTCGGCCTTACGTCGCCCTCGAGTGTTTGGCCTTAACGTCTCCCAGCCGCGGGTCGAGCGGGAGGCGTCGAGGGTCCTTGTCGAGCGGGATGTGTTGTCGCTCACTCCGGGACGTCGATCTCGGCAACTTTTGGAGATGTCGATTTGTTGATGTTTTTTGTTTATTTATCNACGCGACAAATACAAAACAATTTTCAAGACTCCAACCTTCTTCTTCTTCTCCTTCCCTCTTCCCTCTCTCCTTTCCCTCGTCCTCGTCTCTACTTCGTTCTCGTTCCCCTCGTCTACGTCCTTCACCCTCGTCCTCGTCTTCCCCACTCGTCCTCGTCCTTCTCTCCACCCGTCCTCGTCCTTTCCGTCCTCGTCCTTCTCCTCCTCCACTCCCCTCTCCTCGTCCTTTCTCCCCTCGTCCTCGTCCTTCTCCCCTCTCGTCCTCGGCCTTCTCCCACCTCGTCCTCGGCCTTACATCGCCCTCGAATGTTTGGCCTTAACGTCTCCCAGCCGCGGGTTCGAGCGGGAGGCGTCGAGGCCTTGTCGAGCGGGAGGTGTTGTCGCTCACTTCGGGACGTCGATCTCGGCAACTTTTGGAGATGTCGATTTGTTGATGTTTTTTGTTTATTTATCTATTTTTTCTTTAGGGGGGTTTGAGGTGATTTTTTTTTTTTTTTTGGGGGGGGGGTAGGGGGAGACGTCGTGGTGATTTTTTCTGACTTTGACTTGCTCTTTTCTATTTCTTTTTTACTTTTCTCTTAAGATGATTTGAGGATTCTTGAGCATTCGGTTTGATGAGTTTTTTTTTCGATTCCTTGGACGTTGGTTACACTTGATGAGTTTTTTTTCGATTTCTGAACGTTAACATAAACTTCTTGGTTGTCTATGTTAATCTTTTCAGTGTGACGTCATCAATCTTCAGCGATGACTCCTGGACACGCAATTCCTCTTGATATTTTCTTGAGTTTTCTTTTCCGGGATTTCTGAGGATTTCGCAAACGATTCTGGATATTAAGTCCAAAATCCGGACTAATTTCTTCGTCATTTTATGCACTAACACCATTATATTTCTTGGGCGTGTCTTGGATTTGCCTTCGTTTCCGGTAAAGTGTTCGATCTTAACTGATAGTATTAAATAACATTTGGATGTCAGCTGATGTATGACTAGTGATAATTACCAGCACATGGTCATTATACTTTTTCATCTTACGACAAAACACGGATTATGTAGCAACGAAAATAATAATTAATAATTATATTAATATAATAATAATAATAAAATGGGATTTCAACGATAAATAGGTAAAGCTGAGTTCCACTTATATTCCTAGAAGAAGCTTGTCACAAACTGACTTCCTTCCACACAGCGTCAACAGTAACTCCTGAGGGCGAGACTGCGGGCCCTTGCACACACCCCGTCGCTCGGGAAGTTAGCTCGCCCTTCCTTAAACTTCAGATTTCAGTCCCTTTTTTCGCGGATGACTCGGAGCGGCCGGAGCGATGCCTTCAGGTCACAGGTCGCGCGGCTCGTCTCTTCGCTTCAGCGCCTCGTCTGGGCGGTTCTCCTCCGTCGCTCGGGCACTCCGGAGGGCACGCAGCTCGGTCCTTCGACTTCCGCTTCTCTCCTGTTGCTTCTGGCCGGCCGTCCGTCGCCTCGGACGCTGAAAACCGCTCTTCGTGACTTCCTGAAAGCCGCCGGACGCAACAGCCCCTGGAGGATGTCATGAAGTCCTGAAGAAGACCTCGCGAGGACCTATAGGACGTCATGAAGACCTGAAGGAGACCGCGTGAAGAACACCCGAGGGACATATCACGCAGTCCTCATCTCCCTCATCTCTCTCTTCTTCCTCTTCCTTCTTCGTCGGGCCTTCCTTCATCACGCTCTGAGTTGGAGGAGGACTTTCTTGTGGGGCGGCTGAAGGTGGTCCTGGAGGCTCGAGGCGGACCTCTTCTTGCTCTGGGTCGGGTGGGCTGCTTGCTGGTCTTTCGAGGAGAAGGTCAACCTTTTCTTTGGACGTACAAACTCTGGAGGAGAAGAAGAGGAGGAGGTTAGAATGATGTTCAGTGACTCCGGATTTCGTAAACATTAAACCGGTTCCTATTTGAGGCATTTTGTTTGCAAATTTATATCAGTCTTTTATCTTTTATGTCTGTCTCGTTGGACATCTGACGCATTAATGTTACAAACAGGTCTGATTTTATCTATTATTATAAAATATTTACACCAACACACACACACACACACATAACACACACACACACACACACATACACACACACACACACACACACACACACATAGATATATATGTGTGTGTGTGTGTGTGTGTGTATGAATATATGTACATATATGCATATAATACCCACAAACGCACACACACACAGACAAACACACACACCACACACACACGCAACACGCACATATACACACATATCTATAGATAGATAGATAGATATGCATATATATATAAATATATACATACATATATATATATATATATATATATATATATATATATATATATATATATATATATATATATATATGTCTATAGGTAAACAGACAGAAAAAATGCATGGTAACATACATACATACGTACTTACATAAATGCATACACACAGGTATACATGCTTACACACATACATACATACGTATCGTCCTTAAATCGCGCTTGAGGCTCACATAATGAATTCTCCAAGACGGGCGTAATTACCCCTCCCACAACCAACCAAATGTGGCGTCGCGAGCCCGTAGATTTTATCCGTCTGTCGCGCCCGCCTCCCTGCATATGGTAGATGTTACGCCCGATAGATTTAGTTGTATTGGATTTATGGGTGGAATGCGATGGCAGTTGTTTTGTAGAAGGAGTAAAGGTGCGATATGAATTAGATGGAGGGTTTAATTGGATTCGTAGCCTATTTAATTCCCGAGAAATAACACATCGATTGGGGTGGGTTGATCAACGCGATTGCATAATTGGTCTGAAGATTGAGTTATACGTTGCATTACGTTTTGACTTAAATTGAATCAGTAAGAAATCACAAAAGGAGTAAAACGCACTTAGAGATGGTTCTTGGAAGATAACGGCGATAGCGGACGCGACGATAACGATAAGGAGGCTCAGACACGGACACCTCGAGCGGAGGGCGTGACTGGCGACTTCGGGCCAAGCGCTGCCTGCGGGTCCGCTCTCCTCCTGTCAAGGGTCGTGACACCGCCTTATCTCTTACTCGGGGGGGGGGGGGAGGGGGGGGGGGCTTACCTGTGATGCACGTTTGACGAAGTCGCGGCTGACTGTCCTGCTTGGGCGACGACGAGGGCGACGGCGGCGACGGCGACGACAGGTGGATGGACTCGTCGCTCTCGATGCCGCTGTCCGCGTCCGCCGAGGGCCTCCGCCTGGCCTCGAGCGCCTCCTGGCCCTGCTGCGCCTCCTCGCCCCTCGCGCCGCCCTTCGCGGCCGCCTCCG